ACTAACACCAAAACTAACCAGCGGAACGTACTAGCGCGAGCCATGCACGAAGCCAAGCAGTCCTCTTCAGAAGAGGAGGTTTTGAAGCAGCTGGTACATAAGTACGTCTCTGTCGACTCGAACCCTGCAACAACGTACCCCGAGTACTCGGGATTGGCCAACACTGAACTGTACGCCGAGATATGCCACGAAGAGGTTCGGCAGGCGCTCCACGGGCTCAATGGAAGGTCTGCCGTAGGCCCTGACGGCATAACTAATAAGACCCGGCGCAACCTAGACGACCGGTCAATCGACTACCTCATCGAAGTCATCAACGAGGCATGGAAGAGTGGCGAGGTCCCCGACCCATGGAAGGTCGCAGGCACCGTGCTCATTCTCAAGCCGGGGAGGCCACCCAACTTGGACAACATGCGCCCCATTTCGCTCACATCCTGCGTGGGCAAGGTAGCCGAGCATGTGGTACTCAATAGGTTGACTCGGTACCTGGAAGACAATGGGCTCACACTACGATTGGTTTTCGGGCCAGGCTTTCGACGCAAGACGCTATGAAGCTGCTTAAGCACCAAGTCATCGACTGCAACACTCGATACATGCGGGCCATTCTCGGCCTCGACTTAGAGAAAGCCTTCGACAATGTTACTCACTCTTTCGTGTTGTGGTCGATTGCGAGCTCGGCCTTGGAGTCAGATTCTACGAATATGTCAAATCGTTCTTGACCCGTAGGAGAGCCACCCTCAGTGTGGGAGACCTTGTCTCCGAGGAGATCAAGCTGGGAGCGTGCGGCACGCCACAAGGGTCAGTGATATCGCCCACCCTGTTCAACCTTGTCATGGTCGGGTTGTCCAAGAGGCTCTCACGTATCGAAGGCATTGACCACACAATTTACGCGGACGATATTACCATTTGGTGCACAGGTGGCAGCGACGGGCAAGTCGAGCGCTCCCTGCAGGAGGCCATAGACACCACGGAAGATTACCTCCGTCCCACAGGCCTGAGGTGTTCCCCAAGCAAGTCCGAGCTCCTCCTCTACCAACCCACTAGGCGAGGGCCCAAGCCCGAAAACTGGCAGCCGATCTCGAAGAGTGACATGAAGCTCTACACCAGAGATGACAGTGCAATACCCAGAGTCGACTCCATTCGGGTCCTAGGCATGACCATCGAGTCCAATGGTTTCAACGGCCAGACTATACTCAAGCTCGCCGCCAAGACGGATAACCCGGTTCGGCTGGTTCGGCGGGCGGCCAACCGCTACCAAGGCCTCAAGGAAGACAACCAAATCCGCCTGGTCAATGCCTTTGTGCTCTGCCACTTTTCATATGTCGCGGTCATGCACAATTGGCAGCGTGCCGAGCGTGACAAGATCAACGTCTTGCTCAGAAAGATTACCAAGCGGGCCCTCGGTATTCCGATCAGGACGCGCACCGAGCGCCTGCTCCAGCTCGGAGTACACAATACGTTGAAGGAGATTGCCGAAGCGCCGGAGCGGGCCCAGGTCGCGCGCCTTTCGAGCTCCCAGACTGGCAGACATATACTCCGAGAGCTCGGTCACTCTCCGGCTGAAGTGGACGAGAAGATGAGACAGGTGCCCCGTGAGATTCGCAACCTCATCACCGTGGCACCGATACCAAGGAATGTCCATACCAAGCACAATCGTGGTAGGCGACGGGCAAGATCTGCCACTCTTCTCAAGCAGATTCACAGTGAGGAGCGCGGCGTCAGCTTTGTCGACGCGGCAGCGTACCGCGGGAGCCACGCCTTCTCCGCAGTCGTCGTCGACTCCAAACAGCAAATCACCAACTGCGCATCGGTTCACACTGACGACCCGACGATTGCCGAGCAAGTGGCCATCGCCCTGGCCATCCTGGAAGGTGAAAAGGAGGTCATCTATAGTGACTCTAGGTCAGCTATTCGTGCTTTCGAGCGCGGTGTCGTCTCCAAGAAAACCCCGTGCGTGCTCCAGAGTGGTGGCCACGACGGTATCAAGCACCACGTACTGATCTGGTTTCCTGCACATGTTGGACAGGTCCAAGGCGCTCCCCCCAACCTCAACGAGTCTGCCCACGAGGCCGCGCGCGCGCTAATCGACCGCGCCGGTTCCGGGCAACGATTCGGGGCCAACGGGGTTGCGGAAAACAGGGACGCCCTACGCAGGCGGCCCTACGCAGCTCCCTCCTGGCCGACCAACTTTGGGCCGTCCAGCAGGCCCGCGGAGCGGCCGATAGGCTTGGCTTAACGGTCCCGACGTGGGAGTCGCCCGCTTCGCGCTGACGCGCGCCTTGCAGCACCACAATAAAGTTTCGCAACCAACCAACACAAGCTTATATTGCTCTCCATTCGTAGAGTACATCGTACTCTAAGTCATCGAACATTTGTAATGAATGGCTTGAAAAGCTTACTGCTGTCCCATGATAACGTACGTACAAATACGTTTTATCTCCACATTCCAAGATTGCTACGATGTTCTTCAACTGTTGTCCGAAATCTTGAGCTTAAAGCAGCTCCTCTATGATGTGAAACCTTATACAGTGCACCCAGTAGCTGTTAGTCATAGCAAACATACTGAAGAATATTCCATCCCTGTGGTGATTCTCCTTTACTTATCTGGATGTTCAAAGACCACACTTTTTTGTTTTTAGATGCGAAGCAGCTTATGGCGGAGAGGGGCACGCGCAGTGGCGGAGCGGATGGTCACCCACGTCTGGGCAAAGATACTTTAAAATTGTATCGCGATACAATACAAGATACTCAGGCAAAAAGTATTGGAGATACAGATACAAGATACTAACACAAAAATTGTATCCTATACGATACGTGCCAATTGTATCTTGAGATACTTTAATACATTCGCAAAACTCTTGTTATAGACCCCAGCAATCTAGAAGCGAACGAGTATGCACAAAAACGATGGCTTGAAAATTTCGGAATTGTGCCCAATTTTATTTTAAATTAATGTCCGCTGGTAGGCTCAAAAGTCTTGTTCCAAATGAAATTAAGTTCACTTTTGAAGAACTTGCTATAGGGTTTGTTTTAGCTGCTTGACAGAACAGCTCTGTAGACACTTCGCTGACAGCGGTTCTTGCTAGTAATTTCTGCTGAGCTTGCCAACCAGCTCATTGATCGCACGGGCTTCAATAAGAAGACTTCGCATGATGGCGCAAATACCGGTGTGTAGTTTCAGCTTGTCCATAAAAGATCGTTTCGTAATGCCAAATCACAGGTGTACAGCAGCAACAACGCTCGTAGCGACATTTTTGTGGAACATTGGGTATACAGGCCTACGTAGAGTGCATACAGCTGCTATTAATTTTATTATTCTTCTTATTTGCAGTCGTAAATCATTATTATCTATATACTCACTCAATACATATACACACTCAATATAAAGGTGTAAGTGATACCAAAAATAAATCAGACAATTAAAGGTAAGGATAAAACAAAGAGCTTGTTTAAGCTGCAATTTATAAAAGGCATAATGCATTCACGAGACCAAAAAAAAAAAAACGCGTTTTGAGCATTATGTAATGTATGGGATGTAAGAGGACAACTGAGAAAGCACTTGTGCTGACAATCATATTATAACTTCAGGAGTTCTTTGTATAGAAATTGTAGGAAGAAAACAACACGCCAAGATATACAATGACAGATAATCACTTGTTATAATAGATACAAAATCAGTACCGGTGGTGCTAAATGGGTGCACGCTATATAGAGAGTGGCATCAGAAGTTGTGTGTTCAGTCACACGCGCATTGGGGCAAGCGGCGCTTGCAAGTGGATAATGGGTAGTGTCATGACTTTGACACAACTAAAAAAGAAAAAAAATGAGAAAACAAAAGATGAACGGGCAATCACGCGAGCGCATTTCCCTGGAGAACGGCGCGAGCTTTGTCATGTTGCTCTACTCCACAAAAAAGGGACGTGCATACCTCATCGTCTGTGCTCACTGTGAGAGTCGACCGAAAGGATGAAATTATGCCACTGACCCTAGTTTAATTCATGGGCATAGCGGCACCAGTACCAGTCTAGGAGGCGGAGATTGGTCTGCGAATAACGTTTCGCATGGTGGCTTTGCGATCGCAGTATCTTGTTTTTTTAATAGACACGATACATTGTTCAATGTAACAGAAATACAGATACAGATGCCAGTTTTGCGAGCCATATCGCGATACAAATACAAGATAACCAAGAAGTATCAAAGATAGTATCTCAGATACATGTATTTTCGATACTACCCAGCCCTGCGATCGTCGAGGGCCTTCTCCTCGCACGATCGCGAGGAAGTTGCAGAGCAATGCCTCCGCTTCGTTTCTCCTCTCCCGTTTGTCTCTCCGCTACAGCTCACACCGTTGCACGTTCCTAAGCAACGCTGGGTGTTCACTTTGCAACACCCACGCGGTAACACACACAAATGGGAGGGTGGCTACATAAAGTATTCACAACATATACACAACTCCACACACAAATGAAAAGTACATGGAAACATACAAATGGAATAACAAATGGAAACACTAGCGAACACCAGCACTGCTTCACATCCCCACATGGTTCCCTTCAGTGAGAGGCGGTGTAATCGTTTTTCCAAAGTCTTTTATTGACTTCAATATCACATTTCACGGTTGCTCTTTCACTTAAGTGTGCGCAACCTTCGTTGACGTCTACAATCTGAGAGAAAAAAAAGAGTTATTTTACTTGTGAGTACTATCTGACTTGCCGAATATAAGCTCACTTCATATAAAGAGACACACTAACTCTCTTTGGAGATGATTACACACTCCGAACTTTCTTTCGGAGAGACGAGCGTTCCACGACTCCCCATAAAAGAGTTCATGTGTCTCTTTAAAAGGAGTTGTATTGGTTGCACGTCTATAGGCTCAGATGAGCAAGTCAAACTACCATATCTTTTTTTTTTCCTTGGAGGGTCGGCTTTCATATATATGAACGTAGCACGAGCTAGTAGCTTCTGCAAGTGATCCCTTTGTACCGATAACCGTGTTTAAGATAGCTCCCGCTGTGGAAGATAAGCGCTTTTAACGTTATCTATTTTCGCAATCCCTAGAAAGCTTCGCCGGCTTCCTCACTGCAGCCGGTCTTATCGAGATGTCGGCTTTCTCCTTCCCCAGTTCAGTGGCTGTTGAGAATCCGCGACTGCTAGAAAAGAGGTCCTCAAGAGCGCACTATAACGTGAAACATACTCGTCGAAGCTTTTCACAGGGCTTCACAAAACAAATCTCGCCGTCTGTCATACGAGAGGACGCACCAGTTCAAGTAAGGGCGGCACTGCGTACCAACGTTGCCGCATACAGCATACATCTATAACAAAAGCAACAGATCGCTTTTCATTGCCGACTCCGTAGCCGAAAACGTGGTCGACGTCGACGGCGAAGATGTCGTTCAAGGTGAGATCCGCCGTGCGCGACGACTGTGGCGCCATAATGGGCCTGATTCGAGAGTTGGCCGACTACGAGCGAATGCTGGATCAAGTCGAGGCGACTGTCGACGACCTCGAAGACCACCTCTTCTCCGACGACAAAGCGCGCTGGGCTTGCGCGAACGTAGCGACTACGACGGCGGATGACGGCGCACGCGTCATCGGTTTCGTTCTGTACTTCTTCATTTTCGATCCGCTGACTCTGGAGCGCGTGGCGTACATGGAAGACCTCTACGTGCAGCCCGCGCACCGAGGTCGGGGCGTCGGCCTGGCCCTGTGGCGTTCGGTCGCGCAACACGGTGTCCGGAACTCGTGCGAAGTGCTCAACTTCGAGGTGCTCGACTGGAACGTGCCGTCGCTGGAGTTCTACGCCAAGCGGGGCGCCACCAACATCACGCGTTCGCGAGGTTGCCAGCACTTCAGGTTCTCCGCTTCGTCCGGCGCCCCCTTTCTGTGAGAATACCACCGTGATATGGTGCGGTTTGTGTTGGAGAGTATCTTTTTGTCAGAGCCTTTCTTGTTGCTGTTTTTTTACGTTGTGTTCTTGAGACATCGCGCTTTGTAGGCGAGTGGTCTATTGTTAATACTCGAAACATTGGCCGAGTGGTCTTTAGGAACGTTTTCTATACATATTTTGAACGATGACATATGTGCAATATAGTTTGTATCTTTCATGTTAACATGAGCATCCCACATAGCGTTAGGGTGACCACATTCCTACCAGGTAAATGCGGGACATGCTAAAATAAATGACAGGAGTGGGGTAACACAGCAAGATGATTTGTTTATATAATAGTCAGGAAAACTGAGACTGATTTAGGTTTAAGTTCAAATGCATATTCTTGTAAACAGCTGTCATATAGAACAGTTTGTGTCGACACGTCACCCCTGTTTTCTGCCTTTAGAATCAAGTTATAATGTACCTTCAACTCGAAACAGGGCTAGTATTGTCAGCATAGAATCCCCCTACTGATTCGCAAGACGGAACTAAGGCTTAGTTTCCACCGCGAGCCGCGCGCGTGGTTGACATTTCTTCAGAGCTGGGAGTGCTTGCTGCTAACACATGATAACTAAAAAAAGAACGATGCGATGCCGTTGAAGCTAAGGCATGGCTGACCTATAAAGCAAAGTATGAATGTGGAGCATTTTTGAAGACGTTCATATCTCTTGTGGGGCGTGGGACAATGACCCTCGATGTGACAGTCCCTCGAGGAGCGGGACGAATAGCCACTCTGCGTTGCATGTAATATTGTTATTTGTGTCTATGTATTAACATCGCAATCAGCTCCTGCGAAACATTTATTCAGCTTTTTTTATGTAATTGTACGACCACATCTGGGGCAGCTTTCTACTTCATTGGCACTTCAATTTCAGCCTGATTTGTACTGGGACAGCTTTTTACTCTCCAATAGTAGAGTATATTGTACTCTAAATCGCCGAACATATTTGTCTAAACATTTGTGCAGCTGCCAATTGAAATTGCCTATGGTGGAAGTAGCCGCCAGTTCAAGCTGCCTAGTTTAGCAGCTTACTTATAGGCGGCTTTCCTTTATGTACTGAAGAAAAATAAACTTGATTCGTCATGATCTAAAAGTGCTTGTGTAATGACCGTGTTAATCTTTGTCAAGCACAAACCTTGTCGAATTTGCTATGTTGCGTTTAATCAAGAAGTGGTAATTTGTGTATGGTGATTTCTATTCTTTATGTCTCTTGGGAAGATTTGTTAGTTGTATATATCACTATCATTATTTTCCGATAGCCAGTTTGAAGACGGCCTACTTTATCGTGTTTTACCGACTATAATCAAAATAGTAGATGAATGTCGCCCCCCACTTCCTGACCCCCTGAAACAAACAAAAAACAGGAAAAAGGCCCATAGTCTTGAGCTATTCCTCCAGATGCCGACACGCAGCTTTGATAATGCTCCACCACACCCCTGTGTGTGAGCCTTTACCGTACTCCGAAATACTATTCGATGTTGGCCTTTCCCGACTAATCAATTCTAGCTGTCAGTCAACGAGGAGCGCTTTTCATTGGCCATTTCAAAATACGTAAGGGCTCCCGACATGGGTGGCGGCCATCGTGTAATGACACGGAAGAAACGGAATGGTACTACTTTTTTTATGGTGGCACTTAGTTTCGTAGGATAGAATCGCAGGCGCGCGGGGAGGAGGGGGGAGGAGAGGTCTAAAGTTCCCAGGCAACGCTGCTATAGGAATACATGGGATAGTGGCCTGGGAACTTTTAACCAGCGCTGTACGTACACACGTACGGTCACTGTGAAAAGTTTGGAGACCACGAGACGCAAGAACAAGTTGCACAATCTCGCTGCATCGGCAGACAGTCGCAAATTTCAATTTCCGCGACCTGCTCTGCAACCCGCTAACAACACTTACTGGGCAGTTCGGCCGAATACAGTGACAAATTACTGCAAAATTCAAACTTTCCTTAGACTTATTAGTTTACAAGCTTTTGTTGCCGAGTGGATTCAAACGTGGCGTGCAAGTATGTGATTCTTAATTGAAAAAAAAAGATAAAAGTGAGCCCCACAACTGTCTCTCAGGGTGAGGACACCTTAACAGTAGCTCACGAGGGATGGGAGTAAGGAGGGATTAAAAGGGTGGATTAAAAGTATAGAGTAAAATAGAGGTGTTGTACGTCGAGAAAGGTTCAGACGCAGCTTGGCAAAATGAGCTTTAACAGGCAGGTCTGGATAATGGCGAACGGCGTGCGCGAGCTACCACTGCAGCCACCGATCATCGTCGTCTTCTTCATTGCCAGCAGAGCGTCCGTTATTCAGATTCATTAATTCATTACAATTACTCCCCGCGAAATAAGGAGCCATCCTGGCGACCTATGGACAAGTAAACACGGGAGGGTCGTAGCAGGGCTTAAGTCTCGAGACGTGGACAATTTCCTGGCCACGACGACGTTGGTCAGAAGATGGTTCCAGTGGCTCGATGAGGTAATTCACCGGTGACGTTTTTTGTAGCACACGATATGGGCCGTGATACTTGGGGACCAACTTGGTAGAAAGGCCAGGTGTAGCCGAAGGGACATGCAGCCAGACGAGTGAACCTGGATCGTAGGAAGTAGTGTTATTTGATGCGTCATGGTGGTGTTTTTGGCGTCCTTGGTCTTGAGTTGTGAATGATCTTGCCAGTTGGCGGCATTCTTCAGCGTATGTAGCGGCTTGAGACAAAGTCGTGGACTCTGAGGAGTCAGGTTTGTACGAAAGGATGGTGTCCATAGTGCAAGAAGGTTCGCGTCCGTAAAGGAGGAAAAAAGGAGAGAACCCAGTAGTGCTTTGAATGGCGGTATTATAAGCGAACGTGATAAACGGGAGCACTCGGTCCCAATTGGAGTGGTCTGACGAGATATACATAGACAGCATGTCACCAAGGGTGCGGTTGAAGCGCTCTGTCATTCCATTGGTCTGGGGATGATAGGCGCTTGTAGTGCGGTGAACGACGTGGCACTCACGCAGCAATGCTGTGATGACGTCTGACAAGAATACGCGACCACGATCACTCAGTAACTCCCGAGGTGCTCCGTGCCGTAATACGATGTTGTGAAGAACGAAAGTCGCAACGTCCTTTGCTGTAGACGAGGGAAGGGATGAAGTTTCGGCATACCGCGTCAGATGGTCGACGGCAACTATGATCCAGCGGTTACCGTCAGCGGTGTTGGGAAGGGGACCGTAGATATCGATGCCGACGCGGTCGAATGGTCGGGACGGGCATGGTAAGGGTAGCAAGGTACCGCTGGCGTGACAAGGGGGAGTTTTTCGTCTCTGGCACGTCGAGCAGGCCCGAACGTATTGTCGTATAAAACGGTACATGCCACGCCAGTAATATCGGAGACGTATGCGAGAATAAGTCTTCAAGAAACCTGCGTGGCCACATTGGGGGTCGTCATGAAACGTGGAACAAATTTCGGATCGCAGATGACGTGGAATCACGAGTAGCCACTGACGTCCACCGGGTGCGTAGTTGCGTCGGTACAGCACGTCGTCGCGAGTGGCGAAGTGCTCGACTTGCCGACGCAATGTGCGAGAAGGGGGGGAAGCCGTGTGCCCAGCCAGGATGTCTAGAATCGAAGCAACCCAAGGGTCCTTGCGTTGCTCAGATGGCATCTCGGCGATGGTGACGGCAGTGGCATCACAGGTTAGACTTTCGCAGCAGTCCGGGTCAGGGGGTAGCGGCGAACGGGATAGGGCGTCTGCGTCCGAATGTTTCCGGCCGGAGCGATAGACCACGCGAATATTATATTCTTGGAGGCGTAATGCCCATCGGGCGAGGCGACCGCTTGGATCCTTCAGTGACGACAACCAGCAGAGGGCGTGGTGGTCAGTCACGACGTCAAAAGGGCGCCCGTACACGTAAGGTCGAAATTTCTCTATCGCCCAAATAATGGCGAGACACTCCTTTTCAGTGACTGAATAGTTGGTTTCGGCTTTGCTAAGAGTTCGGCTTGCGTAGGCAACCACGTACTCTTGGAAGCCGTCTTTCTTCTGTGCAAGAATAGCGCCTAGCCCGACACCACTAGCGTCGGTGTGGATCTCTGTGGGTGCCGATGGGTCGTAGTGTCGCAGAATAGGCGGCGACGTGAGGAGGCGGCGCAGTTCATTGAAAGAATCGTCACAGGTGGCAGACCAGGCGGAAAGGTCTCTAGAGCCGGCGAGGAGCTTGGTCAAAGGAGCGATGATCGTCGCGAAATTGCGGACGAAGCGCCGGAAGTAAGAGCAAAGGCCTATGAAGCTTCGGAGCTCTTTCATGGTGGTCGGTTTGGGAAACACTGAAACGGCTGTAAGTTTGGCAGGGTCAGGAAGAATGCCGTCTTTTGAAACCACGTGGCCAAGGATCGTAAGCTTTCGAGCAGCGAAATGGCACTTCTTCAGATTCAGTTGCAGCCCCGCGGCAGAAATACACGCGAGGACTTTCTCGAGGCGGGTTAAATGGGTTGCGAAATCGGTTGAAAAGACGACAATGTCATCTAAATAACAAAGGCAAACGTTCCATTTGAGGCCTCGAAGGATAGAGTCCATCATCCGCTCGAAAGTAGCTGGTGCGTTGCAGAGGCCGAAGGGCATGACTGTGAATTGGTAAAGCCCGTCGGGCGTGATGAAAGCAGTTTTTTCACGATCGGCCTCTGCCATGGGTACCTGCCAGTATCCAGAGCGCAGATCTAAAGAAGAGAAAAATTCGGCTCCCTGTAGGCAGTCCAAGGCATCGTCAATGCGTGGCAGCGGATAGACATCCTTGCGCGTGATTCGGTTGAGACGCCGGTAGTCCACGCAAAACCTGATGGATCCGTCCTTCTTCTTCACCAACACAACTGGAGAGGCCCAGGGACTGCTTGACGGTTCGATTATGCCACGTGTCAGCATGTCGTCAACCTGTTCATTGATGGCACGGCGTTCGGTAGTCGACACACGATATGGACGCTGCCGTATTGGCGTCTCTTGACCGGTATCTATACGGTGAACAACAGATGACGCTCGACCTAAGGAAGGCTGATTGTCGTCAAACGAGGCTCGAAAACGCTGTAGGAGCTTGATCAGCTGTTCCTGCTGCCCAGGGGTGAGGTTACAATCAATGGACTTGCGGAATACATCTATAGGTTCATTAGCGTCCGTTGCGGGTGTAATGGCACAAGTCGGTAAAAATGGCTTGTCTGGATAGATCGGGTCTTCAAAATACAATTTAAGGTCTCGAGGCTTCCCAGACACTCGCCGCGTAGCAGGATGTACGGACATGCAGAAACGTTGCACGCATAAAGTACCGCCGAACCATTGGAAAAGTTGATGACGGCAAACGGGAGGACGATGGTTCGGTGTTGCACACTAGCTATAGTTGGCTGAAACAGGAGCGTCGAGTTAGTGGCAGCAGGGGAAAACACAGGCACTAGGACGGCGGACAACGGCGCGATGCGGACGTCAGCTGCGGCAAACACTTTGGAGGGACTGTGGTGGTCGATATCAAGACACGGATTCGTCAACGTGAGTTCAGCACGAGCGCAGTCGACGAGGGCCTGATGGGTAGAAAGGAAATCCCATCCTAGTATGACGTCGTAAGATGAACGTGGGAGAACAACAAAGTTGACGGCGCACCAAACATCTTGAATAAAAACGCGTGCTGTGCACTGAGCTGTCGGCGCGATGAAATGGGAGGTGGCTGTACGCAGAGCAAGATTCGTAAGCGGCGTTGTAACTTTTCTCAAATCGCGACACAGTTTTTCACTAATTACAGAAACGACGGCGCCTGTGTCGACAAGTGCACGTACAGCAACACCTTCTACTAGCACATCAATTTCGTTGGTCGGACAAAGAGGAGGTCTTAGAAAGTTCGACGACGACGCAGTTCTTGCCTCCGGAACTGCGGCTGTCAGTTTTCCTCTCGAGCGGGGCTCGTGCGCCGAAGCATCGGGGAGACAGATCGGCGACGGGGCGGTAATGACCGGCGAGAATCGACAGGGCGTCGTGGGGACGATGAGTCGGTGATAGGAGAAGATGGTCGCCGGGGATTCTGGGCAGCCTGGTAATTTGCAGAATTCCCGTGGTCTGGAGGCTGGAAGTTACGACGGCGACAGTA